CCCTAAGTGTATCTCTCCGTAGTTCTTTCCCATTTCGCTGGGTCAAGGACAGGATATCCTATCTGGGGATTAACCTCACTCAAAGATACTCGGATATATTTGCAGCTAACTATCCACCATGTGTATCGCGTCTCTCTACTCTACTGAAGATCTGGCACGGTTATCATATCTCCTTTCTGGGTAGAGTCACGGCGGTTAAAATGAATATTTTGCCCAAATTACTTTATCTTTTTAGAGCACTTCCAGTTCCGGTCTCAAAAACGTTTTTGGATCACTTTCAGCGGACTATTAACAAGTTTATTTGGGGGAAATAAGCATCCACGTTTTGCCTCATCCATTTTGTATCGCTCACAACGGACGGGAGGTCTCGGTCTTCCTAACTTTTGGCTATATTACCTCTCGGCTCGTTTTGCGCAATTATCACAATGGGCTACTATTAACTCTCAAATCCCATAGATCAAGTTTGAGTCTCAGTCGATACGTCCTTTTTATTTACCGGGAATTTTATGGTCTAACATCTCCCCCCGATCGATTGTTTTTCGTAACTCCATAGTGACCCATTTTCTGACGCTTTGGTCCAAACACAAATCTAAATTGGGTTTAGTCTCTCCTATTCCCCCAGGTGTGTCATTTTTTGGTGATCCTACTTTTGTTGTAGCCTTTTTACCCCCCACGTTTCGTTGGTGGTATGATCGATCTTTTATCAGATTATCTGATTTCCAAAGAGGAGGATCTTACATTACCTTTGATATGCTGCGCGTGTTGTTTGATGTTCCTCTTCGTGAGTACCTTCGTTATAGACAGATTAGGCACTTTTTTCATGCGCACTTTGGCCTTACCCCATCCTCTCCGATTTCCTTTTTTGAACGTATCAGCCGTGACTCTCCCAGGGGTAGGGGTCTTATCTCAGATCTTTATCACCAATTTTTGATCTGTCTTTTTCATGCTCCCCCTTTGTACAGACGAAAATGGGAGGAGGATTGTGGCATCACTTTTTCAGATGAGGATTGGGATTCCATGGTGGATAATATATGCAAGAGCTCTAGATCTCTTTCGGTTTGTGAGACGGCCCTTAAAGTTCTAACCAGATGGTATTATACCCCGTCAAGACTACATGTATTGTTTCCACAAACGTCCCCTCTATGTTTTCGTGGCTGCGACTGCACAGGTACTTTGGTTCATATATTTTGGGATTGCCCGACTATATCCTTGATCTGGCGTAGGATTTCTGAGGTGGCTGCCTCACTGTCGGGTACCCCGATACGATTGTCCATGCAGACCTGTTTATTGGGGGCCCATATCCCAGGGGTCTCTGATGCCAATCTGAGATTGATACATACATTATGTATTGCCACTTTATGGTCTATTGCCCTACATTGGAGGTCCAATGTTGTACCCTTGGACTCCGTTTTACACAGAATTGATGCTGTAATGCTTATGGAACGCATTCATTATACCCTACTAGATAAGATGCACTTATACGATAAAAAATGGGAGTCTTGGAGAGATTGCAGACACTTATTACATGCTTAATAACATCCCCAGTAGGGGTTGGCTGGCATATACTGTTGACGGATGTATTACTTAACCTACTTTGTCGTTTACGTACTTCATGCATTCGTAACTTCCTCTTTTTTTTTTCTTATCTTCTTTGTTATGTTTATATACTTTTATGTATTGTACTTTTTAAAAGTGCCTTGTTTTTGCTGACAATATCACTTTTAAAATGTGCTGTTGTTTTACTGTCTACTCATGTACAAAAAAAATCGTTTGTAAACGGAAAAAAAAAATGTAGCATGGCATGGAGCTTGCAGTGTTGTATGGAGTTTTCTGTGCTTAACACATGATAGGAGGATACATCATGCGGCTAGTTACCATTCTGGCTTTTTTTATGAAATGCATTCTTTTTAATAGCACTTATGAAATACTTTATAAATGTGTTGTTTTTTTGTCATGTATGTCTGCAGTGCAGCAATGATGCTATATAAATTGAACCCTTAGTTGTGTTATTGTTTGTATTTCAATGTTTTTATTAATTTATAAACAGTTTAAGAAGACGGGAGCAACAAAACACGCCCACGCAGGGGCTATCAATTGCACATAAATGACAAAAACATTGGAATAACACCGACAGTAACTCAAACCAAAGGCTATCCACTGCCACTCCAAAAACAAACAAAAAAAGAAAAGGAAGGAGGAGTACAAAAGGAAAAAGATGACAAGACCAAGAGCAGGGTTCTGAGAATGCCAATACCGACCAACATCACAACCCTAGACTAGCTGGGGGGGAGCATGGGAAAGACATATTGCAACCACGGCTCCCATATTTTCAAGAAATTCTGTTGGGAGTTGTTACAGATACTCGACATCTGTTCATTGAGCATCATAGTGGTCATACGGTCCCGTACCCCCTGAAGAGGGACAAACGGGCTCTTCCATGCCTGAGCAATTGTTATAGTGGCCGACAAAAAAAAATAGGAAGCTGGCTTCTGCTGGTGAGCCAAGAGGCCCGGTATGGGACAATGAAGCAAAGCATACCAAGCATCCCGTCATATAGAGAGATGGAACAAGGTGAAAAGGAGGCCAAACACACAAGACCAAAAACAAAACAGTCTCGGGCATGACCACCAGATATGCAATACATCACCACGATGGCTACAACCCCGAAAGCATCGATCACTGCAGGCAGGGTTCGCTTGGGCCAAACGAGCCGGAACCCAATACCAACGAAGCAATACTTTGTATGCCTCCTCCAGCATGGTCGTATTAAATGAACATTTAGCTATAAGCGACCAGGCACCATTCCAGTCCTCCAGATCCACGACCGCCCCCAGGTCGCGCTCCCACTGAACGATATATGAGAGAGAAGTATACGTTGAGCGTCTGTTCAAAGCTGCATAAAGAAGGGAAATAAGACCCGGGGCGCCCAGACACTGTTGGCAAAGCAGTTCAAAGGCAGATTTGGTACGGAAAAGTGGAAGTGCCCCGCAGTGAGGTCAGTCAATGCCGCAATTGAAGGTAACGAAAAAATTCCACCGGAGGGACATCCCGTGACTCCCGAAGAGAATTCCAAGTGGGGAAGGACAGAAAGCGGTGTTATTGTTTGAACTACTTTACAAAGCCCCAAAAACCATCACATTACGCTCCAGGAATAACTGAAGGCATTATACACTTTTGCTGCCTTAACTAGGTAGTAGCGTAGTTATATTCCGTGTTGTTTACTTGCCTTACTTTGTAACGAAAGGCTCACACGTTGTGGATGCAGTTTTTAGTGTCATTATTATTATAATACAGGATTTATATAGCGCCAACAGTTTGCTCAGCACTTTACAATATAAAGGGAGACAATACAGCAACAATACAGTTCAATACAAGAGGGTTTGTAGCGCCCTGCTCCTTGGAGCTTACAATCTAAGAGGAAGGGGCTGGTGGTACAAAAGGTAATAACTGTGGGGGATGCACTGGTAGGAGGAATAGAAGATTCCGTTACTAGCTGAAAGCAGGATAGGCTTCCCTGAAGAGACAGGTTTTCAGGGATCGCCTAAAAGTGGGCAGAGCAGGCGATAGTCTGATAGATTGGGGTGGAGAGTTTCAGAGGATGGGGGAGGCTCTGGAGAAGTCCTGGAGATGAGCATGGGGGGAGTAAACAAGGGAGCTAGAGAGCGGGAAGTCATGGGAGGAGTGGAGAGGATGGTTTGGGTGATATTTGGAGACAAGATTAGAGGAGCGGAAAGGACGGTTTTGGTGATATTAGGGACAAGTCATAGCTGATTGATTTCCCTAGGCCCATGTCTTCATTCCTTTAGCTTGTCCCCATTCCCTAAAGGGACACATAACTTCTTGCTCCGGGTCACAATCCATGAATTACCATTTCCTCTGTGTTGCATCACAAATGTGAGAGCACTAATGTGATGAAACCACATCTCTTCCAGCATGGTAATCTCTCTGTGAATGTTGTGCCTGTTTGTGGCTATATCATATCTAACTACTGTACCTGTGCTAGACTTAGAAACCTGGGGATTGTGGGATATGTTGTTCCTTTATAGGAAGTGTCAGTTTTTAGACAACAGACAGAGGTCATGCATTAACCTGTGCAGTGTCATGCAACATGCCTGATGTTTGAGCACAAACAGAAAATTGAAAGTGAACATTTACACCACTATCGGCTGGAAGCACAGAGAAACAAATGACATCATCAACCTACATGATCAACACACATCACATCTTATGTAGTTAAAAACACAAGATGCAGGAAAGGTTTATGATGCCTTTAAATATAAGGTTCCCACCACGATCACACAGATACACATACCTGACACAGCTTTAGGGTGAAAGCAAATTAAAGTGACTTTGTCACCATAGGGTCACTTTTACGCAAAAGGTCACCTGTAACAGCTGCCACTTCTCTGCTCCCCAGCCTCTACAAGAATTCTCCACTTCGGGTGACTGGATTACTAGATCCCCACTCTACAGGACATATTGTATGAGACAGAAACACAAACCACATTGAGGTGAGAATAATATGTATCATTCCGTAGTTGAACACTTACAGCGGCTAGGAAAAGGAGATCACAGACTGCCAAAGAAGTAAGTATATTCATGCTTCAATTACAGGTGACCTATTGACTTAAAGGGACCCTGGAGTGATAGGGTCACTTTAATGCCATAAAGTGCACCTGTCACCTACAGACAGTAAGGCCTAAGTTTCATAAGCTGATAAGGTTCACAGAATGCAGTCTGCTAATTTATTAGGTGAGTGTGAGTGTTGTTTTAACTAACATTTGGTTGCCTCTAGGTATAGCGGAGATTCCACAGCTAGGATCTGCTATACCTTTCCTATTCTATCCAAAACTAAAAATGCATTATGGAAGGATTTTCACTTTCAGTTTATCATATAAAAAACAATAATATAATACTAATATTTACCTTTATTTATAAAAAAGCTTCCATAAACATGACCATTAGATCTTGCCTTTAGTAGTTATGTGAGCTGCATTTACCTGGCGGCTGTATCCTGCTGCTGGGTCCGGCTAAGCCAATATATTTCTTCCACAAGTAAGTTTGGCTCCTGATGCGGTTCAAATCTATTCCTAAATCGTCAAGAGCATCAAGGTTCTAAAAACACAAAGCATACAGTTATATAGTGAGATAGTATACTAGCCTTGAGATTCTGCAACACATCTACAGTGAAGGAAATAAGTATTTGATCCCCTGCTGATTTTGAATGTTTGCCCAATCACAAAGAAATGATCAGTCTAAAAATCGAATGGTAGGTGTATTGTAATATGAGAAATAGAGAAAAAAAAGCGCCACAAACTAAATAAAACAAAAGCTGCACTCCTAACCAAAAAAAAGGTAAGAATGTGAATAAATCAAAGAGTGTGCTAAATATCAGTAAATACAAAAATTATTAGTTTAAAATAATGATGTTCGTGATAGAAAAAATATTATATAAAAGTCCATCCACCATAACAAAGTAATTAAACAGTTCTGAAATCTTGTATAAATCAAACACCGTGCAAAAAAAAAATGAAATGGGTACACTGATCAGAGCTCCATGCTGACCAGATTATAAATCAGCAAAGATACTGTTTGCTCTGGGAGCGATGATCAGCAGAAGTAATCCAAACTGGGAGCAATATACTGCAAGCAGCCAGTCAGCACAATATGGAATAGCCTTTAACAGCAGGTAGTCATCACGTCTCCATACCATAGATCATGTTCGGGGAATCAAAAAAGGAAATCATGGTGCCGTACGTTTACAACCAAAATGTTTTATTAAAACGTCAGAAATGCACTCACAAACAGGGTGTCTAGCCGACACCAGCAATGACAGCCTCAAGAAAACAGGGACGAGCCTCGCTCACCGCGATATCACAGCCGACAGTCTACGAGGAGCGTCCAGACGTCACATCCAAAAGAAGCCCCGCCCTACTAGTTTTCGTCATCCGACGTCCTCACGGGGCGGAGTTTTATTTTAAACTAATAATTTTTGTATTTACTGATATTTAGCGCATTCTTAGGTATATTGTAACACTGAGAGACAGAATAGCAACAAAAAATTCAAAAGAAATGTATGTCTAACAAATGATGCACTGATTGCATGTTGATGAGGGAAATAAATATTTGATCCCCTTCACAAAACATGACTTATTACTTGGTGGCAAATCCCTTGTTGGCAATCACAAAGGTCAGACGTTTCCTGTAGTTGGCCAACAGGTTTTCACACATCTCAGGAGGGATTTTGGCCCACTCCTCTTGGCAGATCCTCTCCAAGTCATTAAGGTTTGGTGGCTGACGTTTGGCAACTCGAACTTTCAGCTCCCTCCACAGATTTTCAATTGGATTAAGGTCTGGAGACTGGCTAGGCCGCTCCAGGACCTTAATGTGCTTTTTCTTGAGCCACTCCTTTGTTGCCCTGGTCGTGTGTTTTGGGTCATTGTCATGCTGGAACACCCATCCACGACCCATTTTCAATGCCCTGGCTGGGGGAAAAAAGTTTCTCATCCAAGATTTGATGGTACATTGCCCCATCCATTGTCCCTTTGATGTGGTGCAGTTGTCCTGTCCCCTTAGCAGATAAACACCCCCAAAGCAGAATGTTTCCACCACCATGTTTGACAGTTGGGATGATGTTCTTGGGGTCATAGGCAGCATTCCTCCTCCTCCAAACACTGTGAGTTGAGTGATGCCAAAGAGCTCGATTTTGGTCTCATCTGACCACAACACTTTCAACCAGTCCTCCTCTGCATCATTCAGATGTTCAGTGGCACACTTCAGACGGGCCTGGACATGTGCTTTCTTGAGCAGAGGGACCTTGCAGGCACTGCAGGATTTCAATCCTTGTCGGCGTAGTGTGTTACCAATTGTTTTCTTGGTGACTGTGGTCCCAGCTGCCTGGAGATCATTGACAAGATCCTCACGTGTAGTTCTGGGATGATTCCTCACTGTTTTCATGATCATTGACACTCCAGGAGGTGAGATCTTGCATGGTGCACCAGACCTAGGGAGACTGACAGTTGTTTTGTGTTTCTTCCATTTGCGAATGATTGCACCAACTGTTGTCACCTGCTCACCAAGCTGCTTGGCGACAGTTTGGTAGCCCAGTCCAGCCTTGTGTAGGTCTACAATCTTGTCCCTGACATCCTTGGACAGCTCTTTGGTCTTTGCCATGGTGGGGAGATTGGAATCTGATTGTTTGATTGCTCCTGTGGACAGGAGTCTTTTAAACAGGTAACAAAATGAGATTAGCAGCACTCCCTTTAAGAGACTGCTTCTAATCTCAGCTGGTTACCTGTATGAAAGACACTTTGTAGCCAGAAATCCTGCTGAATGATATGCAATCAAATACTTATTTCTATCATGAACATGCAAATCAGTGCATAATTTGTTAGACTTGCATTTATTTAGAATTTTTTGTTGCTTTGTAAGTGGGCAAACATTCAAAATCAGCAGGGGATAAAATACTTATTTCCTTCACTGCAACTGATTGCTCATGGTCCTTGCATATCTTGTGTGCGCTTAGTTAACTGTGATTTTAGTGCATGGTCAAATGAGAACATAGTGGATGGCAAGGAACTGTATGTGGAATAAAAAAAAAAATCATCACTTTCATCCTCCATTTCTGTTTTTGCCATTTCTGTTGGATAATTTTTGCACATAAGCGTAACCTGAAAATTTGTAAATGCTCAGGGTATCACCGGAAGATCGGATTTGTATGTAAGAGAACCCTTACCTGACAATAGTCTAGTGCTGAGGGAAATTTGTAAGTTACCATTACTGACCTCCTTCCAAATATTTTACACAAATATAGATATTCCTTTTCACTTGGGATCCAGACACCATCAAGGGCTTATCCTGGTGCTTGGTCAAGGCTTTCTCCACCCACTTGTAGCATTTCAAAAGATTTCAGTTCACATACAACAATACCATCTTTTAAGCATACCTAAAAACCAAAACTTTAGTTTTGCACAGAACTAGGAATAAAACCACCATCAGGTTTCTTTCTGTAGCTTGTGTCAAATTGGAGAGATTTCTATTCAGTTTCTGTCTTGGAGACACAAAAGGAAGTGAGAAGAAATACTTTTTTAGTTAGTACTCCCATAGGAAGATTCTAGTTCTATATTAGTTCAATCCAACTTATAAAATTGTCACCAAAGCTAAATATATGCAAAACCCAATTAAGTTGGGTCATTCTATGGAATCAAATGTTTTGTGGGTGTCCAAATCCATAACAGCTTGAGGAGTTGTGGAAGCATTTGAAGACTGAAGATTGCTAAAGAGCCTTTGGATATTAATATTTGTAGATATACCTGGCATGAATCCTGTTGAAGTATCTGTTTCTGGTAGTAACATTTGGAATTTCTCATCACCCTCTCTTGGGATAAACAGAGGGTGAATTTCCATGTTAGGAGCACAAATAGCAATTAAATACCGACAGAGGTTATATATATATATAAAAAAAAAAAGTTTTGACTTCAGATATTCTTTAACAATAATAAAGACATTCCATTTGGCAGCTATCCTTGCATGCAGACTGCAATCTTTTGTGTTAGGGTTTAGGTCATGTGATCAGCAAATCATTTTGTTCTCAGTTGATGTCAGCTGATGGTAGAAGAAACATGGAGCCCAGACCTCACAATGCCACTGTTATGAAAGTGGGAAAGCAGGGTAAGTCAGGGAGTGTGAGCATAGCCAGTGACAGTTAATCTCATCAATATATGTTTTTAGCTTTACTCATTTGCCCACAAATAACACAATCTCTAATAGTCCAGAGCACCAGGGAATCTGTCTATGACAGCCTGGACACAAATGAGGAGCTTGGGTCATGATGCAGAGAGGAATAGAGGGGCTGCCATTAGAGTTCATTGGACAGGTGAAACAAACAGTAGAGATGAGGCACAGAAGATATAGAGCAACACTTCCATAACTGGTATGGCTTATACATAAGTCCACCACAGAGAAGGGTAAGGCTACAGTCCAGTTTTAAAGCTTAGAGGAGATGTCATGATTTGTTACCAGGACAGGAAGTGATGTTAAATCTCCCCAATCAAGATATAGATGACAATAAAAACCTGACAGAAGTTCAAAACTTTTCCTGTTTTGTGCAAAACTAAAGAGAAAGCTTTGGCTGGATTTGTTGTACTTATAGAATGACAATCAGTCAGATTTGTTCTTATGCATACTGCATGGGAATAATGAATGGCATAATTTAATACTTATGGTCAACAAAAAAACATATTTTTCTGGCAGAGTGTTGCAGAATGTTCAGTTTTGGTTGAATGTATAGGCTAACATTCAATGCAATTTGTCAGTAGTAACCACTGACCTGCTCATCCAGCTTGTATATCGGGCTGCTCTGAGAGATGGTTGGGCTACTGTGGTGTTTGCTTCTGCTATCATGCAAAACCACACGTCGGTTCTCTAGTAACAGACCGTCTGGGCCAGGATCAAGCTGTGATTCTGAATATGGAAGTTGCTCATTAGATCTCCTCTTGATTCTTATGATCTCCTCTTGGTTTTCCTTTACAGAGCTGAAAAAAAGCAGCTGAAATTGGCACTCTAACTTTGTCCGGAACTAATACATTAGAGCTACAGGCTTACAGGCAGTTCAAGTAGTAGTCACAATGTGCAATAATACCAAACATCCTACCACAAGCCAAAACCAACTTTCATGCCCCTTTTCCCAACAGAACATGCCTTTCTTTTATTACCCCACCACTCCTTTTACCCTTGCAAAGCAAGGAAAATGCCCAGTACATCCAGATATGGAGCACCATGTGACTCACCTCCTATTTTAATGTGACAGCTCTGGTAGTTGATAAATGGCTGAGTGGTGTCACATGAGGGCACGGAAAGAGTTCTCTACCTTGTGCAGAGCTTCAACTAGAGTGAACTGGAGATTTCACAGGGTTTCCTTTCTGGCTTCCTTCCCAGTGACTGAACAAAGTATTAGGGTGCGAAGGATAGATGAATATGTGGCGCTGGGGGGAAGGGGACAGTAAAAAGAAACCTGGGGTTTGCTTTAAGAGATGACTTTTGAACGGATTCTTGGAATTACTGCATTTTTTTCGTATGGCACAGTGTTACCCCTTGGAACTCTGAATTTTAAGCTAGATGCCCCAATTAACTTTGCATTGACAAGGCATTCTGAGACACTTACTACCTCAGTAGTGAGACTGCTAATATAAGAATGGCAGGGCATTCAGAGATATTTAGATCCTCCAAAGCTGGTGTGTCCATGATTTGTTAGTGGCCTTTGTACAAGACAGATATGATGCAATAGTGAGTTGTCCTACCTTGCTGTCATCCATTTTCTGCCATGCGTCTGTGTTAGTATTGGAGATTTGGCAAGAATCAAGTTCTGAGGGCACCCGCCTGTAGGTGGCTTATTCACTTTCCGAATTTTTGGCTAATGAAATAACATGAAAAGTTTATTAAGATTTATGCGACATACACTTTTGCATGTGGTTAATTAAAAAACAAAACGCAAAACCTTAAAGTCTAACAGATCTCTCCAGGAAGTTACATTAATACAGATCTATACTGTATTAACCAACATGCTCTTTAATGACCCTCTTTTCACATAAGAGATAATAAAAGTGACCCTAAAATACCCATTCTAATAACTACTGCTCTGGGATCTAATGACTGCTGGTCAGGTGGCCCAACGCCACAAGTGATCAAGTCATGGTTTGGGGCTTACAGAGGGCCAAGGGCTCTCTCCCCCATTACCAAGTGACAGTGCTGAATGCCTGAGTGGCCGATTGTGTATAATTATTCAAGCAACTGACTCACCACATCTGGATTCCGGTTTTCTCTTCTTGGCTTTGCAGCTACATCTGTAAATGTCAGCTCTTTAATCTGAACCTTCAAAGGTTTCTCTCTAAAAGCAGAAATATACATGATGTCTGATTACTGACTTTGATGCCATTTTTTATTATAGAGAAAAAGTTAGGTGGGTTACCCAGAATAAATAGTAAACAACTAAAATAGTTATTACCCATCTATAAAGGTACAGTATTGTAACCCTAGAATAATCTGAATAATTTTGGACTTTGAAAGGAAACCAGAGTCCTCAGAGGAAACCCATGTAAACATTGGAAGAGCATACAAATTCCTTGGTGAGAAGTGAACAATAAAAACACTATACCACTGCTTCCTGCACACATAGTATATACCTCTTTTCTTGCTGCTGGGATTTCTGCTGGGAATTTGGCACCCAAACCATCGTTGTGCATTTGGTCTTTAGCTCTTGTAAACATGGGTCCACTGTTGCCACCTGGAAAGCAGTGCATTGTGGGTAAAGTATACCAAAATGAGAACCCAGATGGTACACCTCATTATTTTACCACCTAATGCATTTAAAAAAGCAGTATAAGCAACCATAAAAAACTCTCTATTTAGTCCATATGTATTACATTTCCAGAGTAATTTACATGTTCTCCCTGTGCTTGTGTGGGTTTTTTCCAACCGTCCAAAGACATGCTGGTAGGTAAATTGGCTCCTGTCTAAACTGGCCCTAGTATGTGGTTGTATGAATTAGAGTTAGGGACCTGATATTGTAAGCTCCTTGAGTGCAGGAACTAACGTGAATCAACAAAATATATGTATAAAGTGCCGCGTAGATTGACGGAACAATACAAGTACCTGTAATAAATAAAATGACCCAAATTATATCAGATCCTTTTTGTGCATACAGATTTGTTCTGGTTTATTCAACGCTTTGTACGAAAACATCTTACAAGTATCTAAATCTGGTATGTTGGCTATTAAGCCCTGCTACTTTTATGACTGGATTAATGTACTCTAAGTATACCTTGTCACTGGATTGCAGGTAAAAGCACAGAAAAACAAAAGCTATCAAGTACTCATTTTCATTTTTTTCTTTTTCATATATTATTTTTTTATTGACTTGCAATTTGCCTTTGAACTTGCTGAGAAAATTAACTAGTTAATTTCCTAGCACAGCCCCCTACCTCCTTGCACATCATAGCCCTTTTCCTTTTCTCTTCCTCTAACTCTCTGTGCTGGCCCCGCACCTCTGATTCCCCTTTACCTCCCTACATTACCTTTGATGTAGTTGAGGGTGAGCAAAGAGGAATACTATAGACCAACCATTCTCAACCAAGGTTCCTCCACAGCTTGCTAAGGGTTCCCTGAACTGTGGCTAAATGATATCCCATTTGATGGTGTCTGCATAGTTCCAGGACCAACACCACTTTGCATGACACCAATAATTATTTTAGCTATCTGTAAGGATGGCATTCTGACCACCATTTAAGGGGGGCATTCTCTCAACTGACCACCAATGTGAGAGACATTTTTCCCACTGACACCTAATGAATTTGTTTTAGCAGGGGTTCCCAGAGACCTGAAAATTATTTCAAGGGTTAGTCTAAGATGAAAAAGGTTGAGAAAGGTTGCTACAGACATTCTCTTAAGAGTCAGCTCTGAGCTTGCTGGGGCTGCTGACCACATTCATGTTGGTGGCATCCAGCAGCAGTTGAAACTTTTGGATGTCTGCAGAAGACAAGTTCTCACAGGTATATAACATGCATTCAAAATTAAACATACATACAGTTGTGTTCAAAATAATAGCAGTGTGTTGAAAAAAGTGAATAAAGCTCAAAATCCTTCTAATAGCTTTTATTTCCATACACACAAATGCATTGGGAACACTACACATTCTATTCCAAATCAAAACATGAAGAAAAATAGATCAAATTTGTGTTGTTCCTCTAAAAAAATTGAAGAAAAGTGAATATTAGACTGTTCAAAAAAATAGCAGTGTTTGTATTCTTCTTTACAAACTCAAACATTCACTATATAAACTGAAAAATGTTTGAAGATTTTGCTTTCCTTTGAATCACTTAATTAATATTTAGTTGTATAAGCACTGTTTCTGAGAACTGCTATACATCTGTGTCGCATGGAGTCAACCAGCTTCTGGCACCTGTGAACAGGTATTCCAGCCCAGGATGATTGGACTACATTCCACAGTTCTTCTCTATTTCTTGGTTTTGCCTCAGAAACTGCATTTTTGATGTCACCCCACAAGTTTTCTATTGGATTAAGATCCGGGGATTGGGCTGGCCGCTCCATAACGTCAATCTTGTTGGTCTGGAGCCAAGATGTTTGCGCGTTTACTGTTTGGTGTGTTTGGGGTCATTGTCTTGTTGGAACACCCATTTTAAGGGCATTTCCTCTTCAGCATAAGGCAGCATGACCTCTTCAAGTATTCTGATGTATTCAAACTGATCCATGATCCCTGGTATGCGATAAATAGGCCCCAACACCGTAGTATGAGAAACATCCCCATATCATGATGCTTGCGCAACCATGCTTCACTGTCTTCACAGTGTACTGTGGCTTGAATTCAGTGTTTGGGGGTCGTCTGACAAACTGTCTCCGGCCACTAGACCCAAAAAGAACAATCTTACTTTCATCAGTCCACAAAATGTTGCGCCATTTCTCTTTAGACCAGTCAATGTGCTCTTTGGCAAATTGTAACCTCTTCAGCACGTGTCTTTTTTTCAACAGTGAGACTTTGCGGGGGCTTCTTGCAGATAGCTTGGCTTCACATAGGCGTCTTCTAATTGTAACAGTACTCACAGGTAACTTTACACCTTCTTTGATCTTCCTGGAGCTGATTGTTGGCTGAGTCCTTGCCATTTTGGCTATTCTTCTATCCATTCAAATGGTAGTTTTTCGCTTTCTTCCACGTCTTTCAGGTTTTGGTTGCCATTTTAAAGCATTTGCGATCATTTTAACTGAGCAGCCTATCATTTTCTGCACTTCTTTTATATGTTTTCCCCTCTCCAATCAACTTTTTAATCAAGGCACGCTGTTCTTCTGAACAATGTCTGGAACGACCCATTTTCCTCCGAATTTCAGAGAGAAATGCACTGTAATCAGCATGTACAACATTTGCTGCCTTCCTTCCTTAAATAAGGGTAATAATTGCCACCTGTTTTTCAAAGAATGAATGACCTCACTAATAGAACTCCACACTGCTATTATTTTGAACATGCCCCTTTCAATTAGTGATTCAATTACACAGAATCAGCAGCATGGATGTCATGACTGTTGGGTCTGTTGGATTTCTATTACTCTACTACACCTGCTAGTAAATGATTTGCCATGTAGAAATATCATTTCTACCAAAAACAGTGATTGATCAGGTTAGTGATGTCTGACTGCTATTATTTTGAACACAACTGTATGTTAAATAACTATATAACATTATTGGAAGATTTCAGTTGAAATGAATGGTGTGGGGACAAGTTCTCTTTAAAGTGAACTCTTCCAAACCCAGAAGTACTATTTTAAACTCTTGCTGGCTGAGCAATGAAGGATTGAGGGATGAAAGCAAAGGTGCACGTTTGCTCTTTGTTGCCAAAGCACAGTTTTGCTTTAAAAACCTAATTTCTATAAATGAATATTTATTTTTTTGGAGCACAACTATATCTGGAACTCTGGTAGTGCCCTGTCACATGTATTAGTGTCTCGTGGGGCACAAACACAGAATCAAAAGTTCAAGTGCTTCCATGGGCTGGTAGTTAGATGCAAATATTAGGAGCCAACCCCACTCAATAGATCTGTTTATTTTGAAGATGGTAGAGAAACATTTGAATCTGATAAACCACTGGTTCAGACATAAGAGGACATTTCCATATTGAGTTCCCAAAAATTCAAAAAGCAGTTTTCTTCTCCATGTAAACCTGCTAAATATGCTTTTTGCCAAGCTGGTATGTACAGTATATGCCACCAACACACTGTTTATCACTCACCTTCCAAGGTTTCTTAATAGAGAGGGATGAGTCCCCCTTTTTGCCTCTGTGATTTCACTGTAGGAGTTCATGCCTGGAAAGAGGATCTTGTCCATGCTGTTCAAAAAAAATAATGTTGACAGTATTTAGGTTACCTTGATGTTAGTTCAACCATGGCAACATCTGCAAGATGCTCTTGTTTGCTTAGTATTGCCCATGTGAAATTAGTAATTTTGTCATTGGCAATAACTCATAATCAACACCAGAACACTTATCTGCTTCTATGACACTACTCCCTCACTGGCCAAAATGCGGCAGAATCACACTCATCAGAAGTGCCATAAATGCAGGCGAGTGGTATTTCTGCTCCCCTAGTGATCCTGTCACTGGTAGGTTGCTGTCAGCAATAGGATCACCAACCTGGGCAAAAGTTTGCAGAGGAAACTTTAACATGGAACACAAATTCAGTTTAAGTAGGTTTCATGTACATGTATATGTTAAAAAAAAACAACAACTATAGACTGGCATTTGCAGTGATATTTGTATATCTGTGTACAAGACTGCAAATGATATGTTCTTCCATAGAGGAAAATCAAACATTTTAACACAAGCTCCTTTTGTTAAAATATCCTTTTATTTAGATCAGTGTTTTTCTCCAAGACACTCTTTACAGGGTCAGCTTAGTCTCAGGCCCCTAATGCCCACAAAGCGTCAACAGGAACTTTTACATTTGCTGCTTTATTATACGTGTTCTTAGATTTTATTCAGCATATATATTTATTATTGTTTTTTTACTATACATATATATTGCTTTTATATTTCATATTATTGCACAATTTTTTTATTGATTTCTTTTTGTTCCAAAAATACTTTATTAATATAAGAAGAAACAAAATAGCATATAAAGCATATACAGCTATAGATCACAGTCAGAACATAAACATGACATGTTGCCTCCCGTTTCGCAGACAGGACATATTGTAAACTGCAATACAAGTCAAAATGGGGTAGAACATTACATCAGGCATACAATGTAAACCAGTGGATACGCAGAGGAAAGCGGATCGATGTATGTATATGTTGTCACGTCTTGAATATCAGCAATTTTTAATGATGAGGTGATATGAAGATTAGGGTAGGGAAAGCATTGGATGCTGTGAAAGTCATGGTTTATGTATATATAACTTGAGTGAATGATATAGTTGCAGATAGTCATATCTGCGTGGAAGTAAATGCTCTATTTGGTTGGTGAAGAATGAATGATAAGATGGTATAACAGGTGTGAAAAAAAAAGAAGAACAGTAAAAGAAATGTAGGATGAGATGTTGGGGGGAATATGGGGGGAAAGAAAAAAAAAAATAATAATTTGGGGAGGGGGGGGGGAGGGGGGGAGTAAGGGGTTAAGTGACAGTAGAATGTATAGGTAATAAAAAGTTAAAATTGGATCACTTCCCTAAGTATTAGCCAAGCCAGAAAGGTAGTAATAAGGCTTAGAATATGGTACGTGCAAGATCGGTCAGTGGGGTAACCCGTGGATCAAAAACCCCGTAAGGCATGTCATGATATAGACCTACGTTTATTGATTTCTTGTTGTCACTGTGTGAATTGTGATAAATCACTTGTCACCTTGTGATTTATTATATGATTTTCCCAGCACTGGGATTCACTTTGTTGACACGTTTGCTGTGTGTTATATTATCCCATTTTTGGGATTGGGTATTTATTGTTTTTCACTTTGCATTAGGGTCTGATTTTGTGACCCAATGGATCCTTTCACCATTTTGCACCATTATTTTTTGCACTTTATTTTAGATCCCATTAGGATCTCCTATAGTCTCACCATTACTGTCAATTTATATTTATTCATTTATTTATTATTATAATATTTATTGGTTAATTATTATTGTTGCGCTGCACCATATGGTACACAATTTAGGAACTGTGATATGCATTTTCAAATATTACCTGAAGGTGGCACTGTTGTAGAGGTTGTACATATAAGGAGAAGGTAATCTACCAAAGGTAACCAAAGAAGGTGCAGCCTGGAAATTCTGTTCATTCGGCAGCGTCTGGTTATTTGGCAAAGTGGTTACACTCAGCATTGGCAGTCCATCTGTTGAGAAATAATAGTTTTACTGAACGCACCACAAGGACAGGTAAAATAAAAAGTGAGGTACATTTGGCTAAAACAAATTTTCCAAACTTAGGAATGAACAGATGCTGACTAGGTGACAACAATATTATAAATTGAAGTGACCATCAAACATAACAGGACTTTAAAGCTGAAGTTTAGATATAGCAATTTCTACATAGTTACATTTGTCCAGCTTGGACCAATGGAAGTATGTATGTGCTATACCAAAAATATTAGTGCAGCACTAAAAAAATGCATGTCATAAATTCCATAAACGCATGTGACTTAGACGCATATGTGAGTAAAGTGATGAAAGTGCAAAATTAATATAACTAGTTCAAGATGACATAAAATGCAAATAAAATAAGTTCATCAGAGCATTCGTAAATTTAAAATGTCTCTTGTGCAAAGATATCAGCTGAAGAAATGCCTATGATTGGCACGTGAAGTTATCTGTGAAGAGTAACGGTGCAAAAGCTTGTAAAAGGAAATCCACACTTGGTACGGATGTACACTCACCAGACCATAATTTATAATGCGCATTGATTGTAATACATCGCACATCTGGGGGTGCAGCAGTATGCTGACAGCTACGGGGTCATCCGTCTATCCGTCAGGGTGGGTGCTGGTGGTCCTGTGACTTAGCTCAGTCACAGGAGCCAGAAAGGTGCTTATAGTGGGTGTACCGCTGAGGACGTGTTATTACACAAAACACGTTGTGTGGAGCCCTATTGCTGACCTCTAGCTGCCGCTACTGATGAGCGGTGGCCATTTTGGTACTTTATTCATTTATTTTATTACTCCACGTGGATACGTTTTTATGTTACTTGCTATTATTACCTTAACCTCCCTGGTGGTATTCCCGAGTGTAGCTCGGGGTAAAGTTTCAGCACCACAAGCAGTAACCCCGAGCTACACTCGGGAATACCTTGCAGTGCTGCTCCGGGATCTCTTCTTCACTTACCTTGTCCTTCGCTCCCGCGATGTCCCTCCTGCAGTGTCCCCAGCAATATCCTCCGGCCTATGCCAGCATCTGTCTTCTGGGTTCTGTTTCCTGCGACGTCAGCATGTACGGGGGACGGAACTGGTGGGAAATTTAAAAATGTGAAAAAGTGACATTCACTAAAATCACATAGTAAAACATTACTGTATCAAACCATTTCACATACATTTTGTCCCGAGTGCTTTGTCCTGTGCCCTGCCTGCATTTTTACCGTTTCTTTCTGCCTGGAAACTGGAGAAATCTCCATGGCATCCAAAAAGCGTCCCTTTAGGTCAAAAGCGGGTTTAGACCAGCTAGAGAACAGCGATAGTAAATCAGAACCACTTGCAGAATTGAGTGATAATGATTCGTGGGGAAATTCGTCATCAGACACTGAAAACGATTTTGCAACTTTGCTCAGTGATGTGCGAACTTGGCGCTATATTTCAAATTTCAGTGTTTTTGGTTTGATTATATTATTGACTTAAATTTATTATTATATTATTATTATTTTTTATGATTATTTATTAAATTATAATTTATTATTTTGTTTTTTCAAATTTTAACATACCCAGGATGTTTACTAGACTCTTGTTCGGACAGATTTCAGTGAGTTATTCCTAAAAATGACAGGCCTACAATAAAAAAAAAATACATATTTCCATGCAAAAAAAATAATTTACCACATTGAGCACAGAAATACTGACATAATCAGACCGCTAGGGAGGTTAAATAAAATACTACACTATAAGCGCCTTTCTGGGTCCTGCGACTTCCCATATATATGTATGTATGTATATATATCTTTATGGGAAGCACAGTGGCTAAATGGTTAGCACTTTTGCCTGGAAGTACTAGGATCGTTGGTTTTGAATTACAGCCACGGCACCTCCTGCCTGCCTGGGCTTTGCATGTTCTCCCTGTGCCTGCGTGGGTTTCATCCGGGTACTCCAGTTACCTCCCACACTCCAAAGACATGCTGGTAGGTTCATTGGATCCTGTCTAAATTGGCCTCAGTATGTGTATGTATGAATGTAAGTTAGGGACGAGAGAGGGAGAGAGGGAGAGAGAGGGAGAGAGAGGGAGGGGAGAGAGGGAGGGAGAGAGAGAGAGGGAGGGGAGAGAGGGGGGAGGGGGGAGAGGGGGAGAGAGGGAGAGAGGAGGAGGGGAGAGAGAGGGGGGGGAGGGTTGGAGAGAGGGGGAGAGAGGGAGAGAGAGAGGAGAGGGAGGGAGGAGAGGGAGAGGAGGGAGGAGGGAGAGAGGGAGGGAGGGAGGGAGGGAGGGAGGAGGGGGAGGAGAGAGGAAGAGGAAGGGAGGGAGGGAGAGAGGGAGGGAGAGAGAGAGAGAGAGAGAGAGAGTGTGTGTGTGTGTGTTTGTGTGTGTTTTCATTGTGTCACATCGCCTGGTATCAAAACAGGCCACCTGTCTCCCTACAAAAACTCTCAGACCCAGTGAAGTAGCTGAAGACAAACAGAAGATCAGTGGGTTGCTGGTAAAGGTGACCTCAAAACCAACAGGGGAAACCTGGTCATATAAACAGGCTACAAAAAAAAAAACAGAAGGATTGAGGGCTAGGTAGCAAGATCGGGCTACCAATAGGGTATACCACCGGCCCTACTGTCTGGGGCCCAGGACAGCAGGGGGAATCGGATGTGGGCAGGGACGGTGATCAGGGTGACCAGTGCGGCATGTGGAGGGGGGGTATTGGTGCAATTACTGGAACTGATCCCGTGTGGCTCTCTCTGCAGCAGCTGAAAGTCGGCAGGAGGGAGAGGAGGAGAAGCTGGCTTTCAGCTGCTGCAGAGAGAGCCACACTCTGATTCCCACCCTGTCCCCTATGTGCCTCCGTCCCTGGCAGCGCTGCCGGCTTCCTTCCTCCACTCACCCACCAGTTTTCAGCTGCTGCAGGAGGGAAATACAAATTGTCAGTTCTAGTACATGCCTCCACCAACCACACTAATCACCATCCTTGCCCATATCTGATACTCCCTACTGCTCTTCCACCCTATGCGCCCCCCTCCCCCAGTAGCACTGCCACCCATTTTTAGGGTGGAACATGTATTATGTTTCAGTATCTGCAGACTCTTCCCACACAGCCACATCATTCATTCACAGTTTCCTGTGAATGAATGTCTACAAGTACCTCCAGCCATTGCAGCTGACAACTTTAGTTCTCAATGAATCCATTGATCTTCCTGCTCTCAGGTAACCTCCTGTACATACGAGGTACAAGCAGACAGCTATCCAATGTTGGTATTTTCGGAGGGGAGTTGGGAGTTGTCAGGTGAGCTGTATGGGGCCCCGTGATTTCTAACAGCAGCCCTGAGCAAGATGGTGGCATCATTTAGGACACCGCACAATATTGCACATGAAAATATTTGGTTAGACAATTTGGCTTGAAAATAACAGCAAATTGGATGCTACTTTTCCTCTTCCCTATGCAATATAAAAGACAGAAAATTACCTGAGAAAACATACTGTACATTATAGGTCAGACGATTTGGTATTTTTGCGGTTGTGTCAGGACAATCTGCTGGTTTGTGCTGCAGGTGAAAGTGCATTTTGCTTGCCTTCTAAAGTTTGCCTGCTTCCCACTGGTCATCCATCTCACTGGCTAGTTGTCAGGACTCTTTAAAAAGCCCTTAATTAGATCCTGCTACCCGACAACCAGCGAGATGGCGTTAACACCTGGTGTATTGATCAAGTCTGGTTCAAAGCAATTTCCTGAGAACACAACTGTTCTCACTGTGCCCTGTTTACACCATACAAGTATGCTGGTGGGAATGGCATAAAAATGCTGCTATTTATGCAACACAAAACACAAAAGCCTTATGATATATGGCAGTGCGGCACAACACACAGTTTTGCATTGAGTTAAATAATGTTTTTAACTTTACATAAAGTTAAAAAAATAAAACACTTTGTTGAATTGTAAGAAGGTATCACAGAGTGCGTGCATAACTGCACAATGTACACCATTGCACGTACAGTATCTTTTTTTTTTTTTTTTTTTTCTAATCTTTTTTTTTTTTTTTTTTTTTTAGAGAGGACCAACCTCTGAAGAGGAAGGACCGAAATTCCTGAACCTCCTGGAGAGCAGGAATCCTGACAGGGGCAAGGTACTCTGGTCCACCAAGGCTGAAGCCAAGTTGACCCTGCTCCTTGAAGAACTGCAAAACCGGTCCTCTAAGTACTTGGTGAGGGTAGGGTTGCCACCTCATCCCTTTAAGACAGAACACATATTTCCGTATTTTTCGCTCCATAAGAAGCACTTTTTTCCCCCCAAAAAAGGGGAAAAAATGTCAGTGCGTCTTATGGAGCGAATGTAAAGCGGCCGGTCCGGTATTTCTGCTGCCACCATGTCAGAATATCGGGCCGCCCGCTCAGCTCTTCTCTCCTGCAGGACCTTACCTGTTCCTCGCTCCAGCGCTGCAGTCTTCTGGCGCTGGCTTCTGTGACAGCCGGGTGCCCACTGCGCAAGCGCGAGAAGCGCTGAGCTTTGTGAATGGTGCGGTGTCTTCTGGGACACATGACAGGTCCCAGAAGGCTCCGGGCCATTCACAAAGCACAGTGATTCTCGCGCATGCGCAGTGGGCACCCGGCTGTCACAGAAGCCGCCGTGGGAAGAAGAGAGAAGGACAACTCTGTGGAAGTGGGAGCGGGTACCTGTCAAATTCAGGTACCCGTTCCCCCTCCCACCCCAAAGGTCCGCAGTCTCTGGTAATCTCCTTTACTGTCTGCAGTCTCTGGTCATCCCCTGTACTGTCTGCAGTCTCTGGTCATCTGTACTATGTCCACAGTCTCTGGTCATTCCCTGTACTGTGTCCGCAGTCTCTGGTCATCTCCTGTACTATGTCCGCAGTCTCTGGTCATCTCCTGTACTATGTCCGCAGTCTCTGGTCATCCCCTGTGCTATGTCTGCAGTCTCTGGTCATTCCCTGTACTATGTCCGCAGTCTCTGGTCATCTCCTGTACTGTGTCCGCAGTCTCTGGTCAACTCCTGTACTATGTCCGCAGTCTCTGGTCATCTCCTGTACTGTGTCCGCAGTCTCTGGTCATCTCCTGTACTGTGTCTGCAGTCTCTGATCATCCCCTGTACTATGTCTGCAGTCTCTGGTCATCCCCTGTACTGTGTCTGCAGTCCATTGGTTCAGAATATTTTTTTTCTTGTTTTTCCGCCTCCAAAACCTAGGCGCGTCTTATGGTCAGGTGCATCTTATGGAGCGAAAAATACGGTAATTACACAGGTTCTGAGGCTAATTTAATGCAGATAAGGCACCAAGTGAGTTTAATTACCACCCTAATCAGCCACAGAACCTGTGTAATTAATATGTGTTGGGTTTTAAAGGGATGAGGTGGAAACCGTAGGTGAGGGGCTCTCCTGAAGTGATACCCCCGATGGGAAAAGTTAAAAGACCTGAAGGCCACAGATTCCCCAGATGACATCGCTGAAAACCCTGAACCCTTTTTCTCTGTGAGAAACAAAAAAAAATAAAACCTAAACCACACATGCAGTGTTGGTGCTCATGATAAATACATGCAGAAAATGAATAAAAAGTTCCAAGGGCATTAAACAAGGCAGGTCTTGTTGCGCATGTTCATTATAAGCACCATAACACGTGTCCACTGGTGTGAACAGGCACTAAAATCAGCACAATGTTAGAAAGGTGCATTCTGCTGTAAGAGCTTCCAATATGTAGAGGAGCAGTGTTCAACTTACTTGATAATAGAGGTTTTATGTGCGGGCCCTGACATTACCAAGTGCCGCTTGTACATTTCAGAGTAATGTAATGTTACAGAAAATTCAGAAACTGTGGAAACACTACAAAGTATAGACAGCAACCGGGAGCATGCTATAGAAGGCAGTCATAGACTGCAGACATGCTACTGCAGTGGATGGAGACTGAGAACCTGATGCAGGAGACTGTCAGAAGCTGGGAATATGTTACACAAGACTGCTGGAGATTACTGCCATTACAGCCCTTTACATATCAACACTCTCATATTTGTTCTCCTTCTAGTCCCTTTTAAAAACCACTGATTAAAACCCACTGTTTAAAAAACCACCAAAGCCCTATCAGATATTCTTCTCAGCAAGATCTATTATAAAAGGTCAGAGAAAAAATATGTATAAAAAAAAAGAGATAAAAGGAAAGAGACAGCACCATTTAAGAGTTTGAAAGAAACAACCATTTAACTAGCAATCCAGTGTAATTAATCACTTTCATTCACTAAGTTTGAGTAAGCACCACTGCCTGCCGGTGCTAGAGGGTTGTACAATAAGAATCAAAGGGACACATATGACCCTTGGGCCTCCAGTTGAGCACCAAAGATACTAAGACATCCCTCGGAATTTGTGCATCTACATAGTCCCAATTGTATGTGAAGTGTGGAACACACATAAATCTTCATCTGGAATGCTTCACCAATGCAGCCCTCTTCAGACTTAGCAATATAATGAAAAAAGAACAAACAGGAGGGTGCAATTGCCTAGCACATTGTCGAATTATTTTATGAAACATAAACACAAATGCCAATTCCATACTCACAAGAAGCGAGGATACAAGCAGTATATCACACCAAACTTAGACCAATGGTATTAGATGTCACCTGGTCCCATGCTCAGTAGGCAGACTGACGTGTTTCGGAGGTTGCACCCTATTCTTCTATCAGATAGCTCTGAGGGAAGGGGTGTGACACTTGGAACTTGTCAGCCTGCTGATTGAGTATGGGACCAGGTGACATCTTACTAGCACTGGTCTGAGTTTGTTGTGATATATTGCTTGTACCCTGTCTCCTTTGTGAGTATGCAGGGATGTTCAATTCATAATCTACGACCATCGCCCGACGCACAGGACATGTAGTTCCGGGAGCGGGACAGGTAGTTATTTTTAACCTTTATCCTTGCTGTGGGAAAGCAGCAGGGCTCACCTGTCAGGTGGAAGCATTCGAGTGGCTGGGCTGCTGCCTGCTTGCTTCCACACAGCCCACTATAGTGCCAGCCTATGCACCCTTGTCTGCTATGTCTCCTAGGCTCCACTTGCCCATCTGCGGGCCCGTGACTGGTTCAATGGGTGTTGGTAGGTATAGGGGAGGGAGGGAAAAGAGTGGACATGTCCGCTCCCTTCCTCTTCTTGTCCTGACCCAGAAGTGATGTAGTCAGATTTCCTGGCCATTGAGGCTGGGGGAAAGAATGTAATGGAGTGTGATGTGCACTGCATTACATCCAGTGGAGAACAGAGGAGACATGCAAGGTCTTTTAGACCCAGGATGCCTCAATAAGGAGAACTTTTTCCCCCCCCTATGTGATAAAAAAAAAGTTAAGCAAAAAACACTTTTTTTTTTTTTTTTTTTTTTTTTTAATTGTAAAGAATTAAAGTTACACCCAAGCACATAACCCCCCCCCCCCCCCCCCCAACACACACACACACACACACATACACACATATATATACAGTGGGGATCGAAAGTTTGGGAACCCCAGCTAAAAATGTGTATTAATGTGCATAAAGAAGCCAAGGAAAGATGGAAAAAATCTCCAAAAGGCATCAAATTACAGATTAGACATTCTTATAATATGTCAACAAAAGTTAGATTTTATTTCCATCATTTACACTTTCAAAATAACAGAAAACAAAAAAATGGCGTCTGCAAAAGTTTGGGCACCCTGCAGAGTTAATATCTTGTACTGCCCCCTTTGGCAAGTATCACAGCTTGTAAACGCTTTTTGTAGCCAGCCAAGAGTCTTTCAATTCTTGTTTGAGGTATCTTTGCCCATTCTTCCTTACAAAAGTCTTCCAGTTCTTTGAGATTTCTGGGCTGTCTGTCACGCACTGCTCTTTTAAGGTCTATCCATAGATTTTTCAATTATGTTGAGGTCAGGAGATTGTGAAGGCCATGGCAAAACCTTCAGTTTACGCCTCTTGATGTAATCCCCCGTGGATTTTGAGGTGTGTTTAGGATCATTATCCATTTGTAGAAGCCATCCTCTCTTTAACTTCAGCTTTTTCACAGATGGCATCAAGTTACCATCCAAAATTTGCTGAAATTTTATTGAATCCATTTTTCCTTCTACTCATGAGATGTTCCCTGTGCCACTGGCTGCAACACAACCCCAAAGCATGATTGATCCAACCCCATGCTTAACAGTTGGACAGAGGTTCTTTTCATTAAATTCTGTGCCCCTTTTTCTCCAAACGTACCTTTGCTCATTCCGGCCAGAAAGTTCAATTTTAACCTCATCGGTCCACAGAACTTGTTTCCAAAATGCATCAGGCTTGTCTATATGTTCATTTGCAAAGTTCAAACGATGATTTTTGTGGTGAGGACGTAGAAGAGGTTTTCTTCTGATGACTCTCTTCCATGAAGACCATATTTGTACAAGTATCTCTTTATAGTGCAATAGTGTACCACAACTCCAGTGTCTGCCAGATCTTTCTGGAGGGATCGTGCCGTCAAACGTGGGTTTTGAATTGTTTTTCTCACAATCCTGCGAGCTGTTCTGTCTGATATTTTTCTTGGTCTTCCAGATCTTGCTTTAACTTCCACTGTTCCTGATGACTGCCATTTCTTAATTACATTCCGAACAGAGGATATTGACAACTGAAAACGCTTTGCTATCTTCTTATAGCCTTCTCCAGCTTTGTGAGCGTCAACTATTTTCAGTTTCAGTTTTCTAGACAACTGCTTAGAAGAACCCATGGTGCTGATTGTTGGGGCAAGGTCAGATGAGTTGGGCATTTAAAACCTTTGAGATTGACATCACCTGGTCTTCCCAGATGATGATTGAGAACAATCCATGACACTGGCAGGTCTCAGCTTGGCAAAGGGGGCAGTGCATGCTATAAATTCTGCAGGGTGCCCAAACTTTTGCAGACGCCATTTTTTTGTTTTCTGTTATTTTGAAAGTGTAAATGATGGAAATAAAATCTAACTTTTGTTGACATATTATAAAAATGTCTAATCTGTAATTTGATGCCTTTTGGAGATTTTTCCATCTTTCCTTGGCTTCTTTATGCACATTAATACAAATTTTTAGCTGAGGTGCGCAAACTTTCGATCCCCACTGTATATATATGCATGTACACAGCTGGGGCGCCTATACATGAAAACATTGATTGCAATACACGTTACATATCATATACGTTACATATCGCCGCGCATGCCAGAATGACAGCAATACTTCTAAGATCATACCTCTGTAACGCTAAACTGATGACCTATAAAGACCTTTAAAATGTTGCCTATATAAAATATAGGGTACTAAAGTTTGTCACCATATATCATGAGCGCACGCAAATTTAAGGTTTGACATTTTGGATATCTATTTACTCAGAGCAATCTCATCTTTTATATTTTACCAAAAATGGTAATGCATTGCTTTTTTGTGCAATAAAATGAACTTAAGTGTACTTTTTACTTTTTGTTTTTACATTTGTGGTAATATCGCGTGACATAAAAAATTGGAACTACCACTATTTTATTCTCTAGGGATTCTGCTTTCAGAAAATATACAATATTTGGAGATTTTTTGTAATTTTCAGGCCTAAAAGCCCCTTTCGGTTTTAAAAGCCCTAGACATTCTTCAAGCACCTCAGATTTAAATACGGTTTTTAGTTTAGTTTTGTTTTGAAATTTCCACACCCCTGGACTATGGAATTGGCATTTGTGTTTGCGTATAATAAAATATTTTGGTAGTACACTAGGCGTTTTTGCCATCCTGTGTGTTCTTCTATGACAAGATAAGAAATAAGCTAAAGATCCTCAAAGCAAGGCAGTACCTGGATCCGTTCGGGGGAGTCCTTGGTAATAGAACCTAGTGGACGGTATCGAGGGTGACCCAGTTTGATCCTCCTGAAGGTCACCCAACACTGCGGATGCTGACACACTGATGACTTGCACAAAAGTCTCATCCAGCTCCTTTAGGGTGGCCATTCCACTCTCGGTGTGTGACAGGTAAAGTCCCTCCGCTATCTCCCATCCATGTGCATGGGGCACCTGAAATACATATACAGTGAGACAAGGGAATTTTAAAGTAAATCCATTCTTATCAAAATTTTCAGCTAACACTTAGTGTTCCTGGATTTTAGAAAATTAAACACTATAGAGGGATATTCTATGTTCATATTTCATGTCTGAGTTTTACAACCACTTTAAAGCAGAACTTTTTTACCACTTTAAAGCAGAACCTTTTACAACCACTTTAAAGCAGCCCAAAACAACTTAATTAACAAAATGTTCTTTAGCAAGGAACATACATTCCACAATAATATTATGCTACCAAAATTTGTGTGTTCAGTAAATTGCCTACAGCATTGCTCCTGTTGTGGTTTACTGGAGTCTGCTATTTTACTGAAGCCCAGAGACCCTGAACAGCAGTAAATCTTTAGGCTGCCAACAGACCGGCCTTTACAAATTCGGCACAGTGCCTAACAATAGAGAGCAAATAAGCATGTGGAGTGCAGGGTTACCCTAGGTTCACACTTATGCAGATTTCAGTGTGTTTTTCCAGTTTGCAGAAACGCACTACAGTCCATTTAACATGATTTTTCTGTCAGGGCTTGGCTCCTGCTACTTAACAAGTAGCTCTTTTCTTTTAGTGCTCAGTGCTTAGCTGTTGGTTAATTACCAGCTACTTGTTATCTCCACAGTGACTCACCTGGATACCATTACCTGACTCATTAATCCAGCCTACAGCCAGCCCTTTTTACTATTTTAGCAGCTAAGCTCATTTATTCCTTGCCCTTGCGTGGTCTATGCTCTCCAATGTGTTCCTGTCTGTGTTTCCGTGTACAACTCAGTCTGGCTGACTTTTCTTCTGATTCCTTTTCCTGATTTTTGGCTCCTGACTACGATAACTTCTGGTTTCCTGACTCTGGCTCGTCTGATAACCCCGCTTTGACATCCAAACCCTAGCTTCTGTTTTGACTACGTTCCTGATTTATGCTATATTTGCTCTTTCATTAAAAGGTGTGATTTTAACTGCACTTTCTGTCTCCGTCTGGTTACCCTGTAAAAGGGTATTTGAATTTCCCGTCGCTCCACCTTTAATGCCAAGAGCCTCAATGTCCATTAAACAGAGTACGAGAGCTGTTGCCGACTACGTTATTGAATTCCGCACTCTGGCAGCAGAGGTTGGTTTGGCACAATGAGGCTCTGCCGTGGCTGCTTTTTCCTATGGCCTCTCTCAGATAACATTAAAGATGAAACTGCAACTCAAGATTACCTAAGAATGTTTAGGAGTTGATCTTGTTGGCCATTCTCATTGATACCAGACTCCGAGAGAGACCTTCCTTTAAGGAGCACTTGCGGAAGCCTCCTGTATGTTTGGCTCCGAGCTTTACATTCCCACCCATACCTCCCTCACCTCCATGCCTCCTGGGCACAAGTCCTCCCAGTGAAGTAGAGCCCATGCAGCTTGTACTTTACACGTCTCTGAAGAAGAGAGGGCCTTTACAAAAAGGAGAGATTGTGCCTTTACTGTGGCCAAGCAGGTCACTTATTGCAGTCTTGTCCAATCCGTCTGGGAAAAAGCCCGCACCTGAGGTCCTGTAGGGCAGTGTTTTTCAACCTTTTTTGTGCAAAGGCACACTTTTTTCATGAAAAAAATCACGAGGCACACCACCATTAGAAAATGTTAAAAAATTTACCTCTGTGCCTATATTGACTATATATAAAGTAATTCTCTTGAATAGGAATCAAACACAAAGAAATTATTTTATAATTACTTTTATTATGAAATAATAAAGTATTTTATAATTGGACCCGGGGGGCCGGACCAAGAGTAGATGAATGATGTGTATGTGTCATCCATAGTAAGTATAGTAATATTCCCATATAGTAAGCATAGTAATTAATCCCCCATATAGTCATTCATCCCCCATAGTAATTAATCCCCATATAGTAATTCATCCCCCATAGTAATTCATCCCTCCATATAGTAATTTCATCCCCATAGTAATTCATCCCCCATAGTAATTAATACCCCATATAGTAATTCATCCCCCATAGTAATTCATCCCCCATAGTAATTAATCCCCCATATAGTAATTCATCCCCCATAGTAATTAATCCCCCATATAGTAATTCATCCCCCATATAGTAATTCATCCCCCATTAATTCCATCCCCCATATAGTAATTCATCCCCCATAGTGTAATTCATCCCCCATATAGTGTAATTCATCCCCCATAGTAGTAATTCATCCCCCATAGTAATTCATCCCCCCATATAGTAATTCATCCCCCATATAGTAAATTCATCCTCCATATAGTAATTCATCCCCCATAGTAATTCATCCCCCATATAGTAATTCATCCCCCATAGCAATTCATCCCCCGTATAGTATTTCATCCCCCCGTATAGTATTTCATCCCCCGTATAGTATTTCATCCCCCGTATAGTATTTCATCCCCCATATAGTATTTCCATCCCCCATATAGTATTTTCATCCCTCATATAGTAATTCATTCCCTCATATAGTATTTCATCCCTCATATAGTATTTCATCCCCCCATATAGTATTTCATACCCTCATATAGTATTTCATCCCCATATAGTATTTCATCCCCTCATATAGTATTTCATCCCCTATATAGTAATTCATCCCTCATATAGTATTTCATCCCCCATATAGTAATTCATCCCTCATATAGTATTTCATCCCCCCATATAGTATTTCATCCCCCCATATAGTATTTCATCCCTCTATAGTAATTCATCCCTCATTATAGTATTTCATCCCCCCATATAGTATTTCATCCCCCCATATAGTATTTCATCCCCCCATATAGTAGTATTTCATCCCTCATATAGTAATTCATCCCTCATATAGTATTTCATCACCTCATTTTAGTATTTCATCCCTTCATATATTATTTTCCCCCATATAGTATTTCATCCCCCCATATAGTATTTCATCCCCTCATATAGTATTTCATCCCTCATATAGTATTTCATCCCCCATATAGTATTTCATCCCTCATACAGTAATTTCATCCCTCATATAGTAATTCATCCCCCATATAGTATTTCATCCCTCATATAGTATTTCATCCCCCCATATAGTATTTCATCCCTCATATAGTAATTCATCCCCCATATAGTATTTCATCCCCCCATATTAGTATTTTCATCCCCCCATATAGTATTTCATCCCTCATATAGTAATTCATACCCTGATATAGTAATTCATCCCCCCATATAGTATTTCATCCCCCCATATAGTATTTCATCCCTCATAAAGTAATTCATCCCTCATATAGTTATTTCATCCCCACAGTACTATTCCCCCCCCCCCCCTTCTAGTAAGCCAAGTCCCCCGTGTCAAATTCACTTACCTTTTGCGTTCCTCTCGCTGTCTTCCCGCGCCGTTCGGGGTCTTCAGGGGGACTGTGAGAGGAGCCTAGCTCCCCTCCCCTCACGTTCGCACGCTGCCCCGCCTACACACATCCTGACAGCCACATCCGCAAGCCGGATATTAAAAGGTCCGCGCGGACTTTTTGGGGCTGCCAACCGAGAGGAGGCAGGGGAGCGGAATCCCCACGACCGAGAGGAGGGAGGGGAGCAGGCGCGCCCGGCACACATAGACTGGGTAAAGAGCCGCATGTGGCTCGCGAGCCGCGGCTTGCCGACCACTGAATCATTAGATTCTAATGATTGGTCTATTTGTGAGCCGAAGCCCACATGTTACAGATGAAATTGGAATTTTTCCCACGGCACACACCAGACAATATCTCACGGCACACTAGTGTGCCGCGGCACAGTGGTTGAAAAACGCTGCTGTAGGGGACAGACCTTAGGTGATGTCTTTGCGTTGCCGGCTATCCTTAAAGATAAGCCTCTAGTTCTGCTTACCCTTTCCTGTTCTGAGTTCTGCATCGACACCCAGGCACTGATCCATTCTGGGGCTGCAGGTTTATTCATAGATGTGCCTTCGTGTGGAAGCACTCGATACCGCTGCAGCCTCGTGCCTCCCCACTTGCCATTGAGGCTGTTGATGGAAGACCTCTACATCCTGCCCATGTGACCCATGAAACCGCTCCATTGACCATGCCTGTAGGGACTCTTCACCATGAGATAATCCAATTCCAAGTCATTTCCTCACCTCATTACCCAGTTGTCATTGGTTATCCTTGGTTACAGAAGCACAATCCTTCATTTGATTGGCATAGAGCTGAGGTTCTGTCGTGGTCACCACAATACACTAATACTTGTTTTCATAAAGTGAGCAGGGTCTTGTGCACGTCTTCAGTCTCTTCTTTGCCAGAGGAGTACCGGGAATTCTCTGATGTCTTTGACAAAGATCCAGCCAGTATTTTGCTGCCACATCGGCCTTATGACTGCATAATTGATCTTCAACCTGGTGCCATTCCTCCTTGTGGCCGAGTTTACCCTCTGTCAATCTCAGAAGGTAAGGCTATGGAGGAGTACGTTGCAGATTCATTATATTAGGGGTTCATCCACAAAATCCTCTTCTCCTGCTAGTGCTGTTTTTTTTTTTTTGTGAAAAAAGAAGAGTGGTGAACCAAGACCCTGTATCAATAATAGATGTCTCAATCGCAATACTATTAAAAATACTTATCCGATTCCATTGATAAAGAAATTATTTGACTGCCTCAAGGGAGAAACAGTCTTCACTAAGTTCAATTTGAGAGGGGCATACAATCTTGTGAGGATTGAAGAGGATGACGAATTGAAAACTGCATTTAATACTAGGAGTGGACAGTTCGAATACAACCTAATGTCCTTTTGGTCTCTGCAATGCTCCTGCAGTTTTCCAGGAATTTATTAACGATGTCCTCCAAGATATACTGCAGCAATGTGCGGTGGTTTACCTTGATGATATTCTCATATATTCAAAATCCCTAGAGAACCCCCACATAGACATCTCCTGTGTGCTACAGAGGTTGAGAGAGAACAACCTGTATTGCAAGTTGGAAAAGTGCGAGTTTCATCGTGAACAGGTAAAATTTTTGGGTTATGTCATA